CCCTAGTATCTTTTCACAAGTATTTAAAAACTTTTCCAACAGTATTTCTTCTCAATTGCTCTTAGTGCTGGTCGAACAACAGGGGAAAAGGCATGGAATCTAAGTTTTCTTTTGCCCATTCGACTGTGATATTTTCTCCAAGACCACAAATGCAATCAAGTACTTAAAGACGAAAAGGATAAATACGTCTCATCTTTCCACATTTCCTTTATTTCTTTCATTTCTTTGTATTTTTTCTTTCGAAGGCATTATCATATTCCTAGATTAGAATGGAGATAGTGATGAATCTATAACTAGCACCAGTACATCAGCTTCGCTTTGTGCAAGGACCAAGCTATGTACTAAGCTAGTTCAACGTCTGCTTCTAAATTACCCTAGTAAACACATTTTTATCTTTATTTTTTATTTTTATTTTTATTTTTTTCACTTTGACTTGGCTTATATTTCTTCTATTATTTTTAGTAATACGGGAGACCAAATTATTAGTAGAAGATCCAAATGAGTATCAGCATATGAACACAGCTAATATTTGCAAAACTTCTAAGTTAATAAAGATGCAAGAAATATGCTTGTTCACACAATTACAAACTCCCATGAACTTAATGGTATTATATGGGGTTAAGTCTTACTCAGGACTCTCTTTCTGATAGCCAAAATCTGTTGCAGCTTTAAGTGCTCTTTGATAGGTCTGCTTCATTGCTTCCTGTCATTACAAATAAAATGGAATATGACATCATCTTTTGTATACAAGAAGCTGAATCTTGTAAATGAAAATAAAAACTTGAACACCCAACACAATGATCACCAACTACATTTTTGGTTAAGATTAAAAGATTTACTTATAAGTAAATAATTAAATTATTCATTTTGATTGTCAAAGTTAGTTTGAAAGTAAATCCAGCCTTCTTGCAATAAAAGGTGTCTTTTTCTTTAAGAAATAACTAACCGACCCAAACATGTTTAGGAACAAGAAGTAAATGTAAGTCACCAATTTGATTAGGAGCGGAACACCACCAATAGAATTTTTACAATAGCTTATGGCTACTATTATAATTTTTCATGAATTTTAGATAAGAAAATCTTCAACAAACTGAAAACCACTTTTTTGCAGCCCACGTCCTTGCACTTGCTGATAACTGAAACAGATGGAAAATCTATAACTAAATATTAGCATTAGAGAAAGGCACTCTCACCTGTAGTTTAGATTCAAAATCTTCAGGAGACCAGTTCAAATTACACTCCTTTAGTTCAAGTTCACCAGCTACAACCTGCAACAAATAACTAAATATTTAAGCACATTGTTTTCAAAAAAAAAAATAGTGGAAAAACAAGCCAAACTAAATGCATTGATACAAATCAATGTTCTATATTCGCTTTATTAATTTTCTGATACAAAATTTTTAGAAAGCAGAGACTGCTATATACCCCCTCTGTCCCAAAGCAGCTATCTGGTCGAAGACAAACAATAAATACCATCTGCACCATTTTTAATCATCGACCTAAATTTGCATACTTGACATTTAAATGAGAAATTAATCTAGTTCACACGGAATTTTGTTGTATTTACTGATTTTATTGAAGGGCGTAAGGGGATTTTGTGATGGAAATATTTTGCATATAACATAAATAGAAACCTCTGCAGTAATTGGGATGCTATCACTTTACTAGGCTAAAATTCTGCACAGTACCAATTGGCAAAAAAATATCATTTGGTAAAAGAGCCTCTCTGACTTGAACTAATCCAAGTAAGAGGGTAGAAATCTTAGAATACAACAATAGAGAAAAGAAAAAGAAAATTAGGGTGCGTTTAATTGCAAAGGTGGAAAATGGTTGGAAAGAAAATGAATTCCAGATAAAGTAATTGCCTAAAAATTGTTTTGCAGGA